TCAATCCGATGGTTTTTCGTCTGAATACAATAGCATTTAAAGGATTGTGTTTTACTGTATAATAATCAAATAACTAACTCGTATCTTTTCGCATTAGAGTAAATGTTAGTGTAGTATTTATTCATCTTATTACATTTTAACCAATTGAATGTTAACTATAGAATATTTACACGTATTCATTTTAAAAGCAAAAATATCATTCGTAATTTATCAGTACAATTGAATTATTTTATTTCATTTTAAGTTTTTTGCGATTTATTATATCGAACCTTTTTTGATAAATAAAATAATGTCAGTGCGAGACTTCAAAATACTTGGTTAAGCAATTGAATAAGCCGAGAACACAAGCAATTGAAAGAATAGACACGGAAACATCTTTCTCTCTGATAATATAAAGAACAAAATTATTTTGAAATCGATAATTTTCATAAAATAATGTATGAAAATTTGCTTAAAAATCTAGATTACTCGATTGAACAGTTGCATTCTTGACTTATTCATTTTTTTAATCAAATATCTTGAACTTTCGTTTCGATATTAGTTCTTTTAATCTTTGTTTTTTTCTCATTTATATTAACTTTTGATTTCATCGTATTCAATGCATTATTTTATCAACGATGAAACGATAAGTAAATTATATGTATGTTATAAAACATGAACATCATATCATATATATATATATATTAAACTTTAATTAGAAAATAAATTCTTTATTATTTTTTTTTTTATTTGAAATATTTCGATGGACAAGATATATCAGCCATATTTTTATCAGTATTCTGAACTTATCATAGGATAACACGGAAAATAAAAATCATAAAAGAACAATGAATAACTAACTAAGACTGATAGTGATTTTTTTTTGGTTTTGAAGACCTTATTAAGAACAATGATATAGGATTATACGGGAAAAATAATAGACTTAAGAACTAATAAATATATTATTCTAATTAATGGAATATCTTAGTCTTAATAGTTTCGATTAGCTTCAAATAATGATTGTTCACCAGCTGTACCACCAGCACCACCTTTATATTCACCTTTTGCAGCAGCACCATTAGCCTAAAGAAATAAAAAAAATAAAAAAAGAACTCAAACAAAGACATTGTTTAGTTTTTTACTTGTGCACGTTTAAGAAGTTCCTTTTGTGCATTAGATACATTTTCTGATTTACCAGCCCACATACTAAGAACACTAGCTTGAAGTGCACGTCCATAACTGAATGTTAGTGCCCATGGCTTCTTGCCTTTATATTGATTAATGGCATTCAAATTAAGTGAAGCTTCTTCTTCTGATTGACCACCTAAACAAAAAAAAAAAAATTTCTCTTTTTAAATTTTAATAATGAAAAAATGAAATAAACCTGAAAGAAAGCAAATGCCCGGTACAGCAACTGGCACTGTTCTTTGTAATGCTGTTACAGTTGCTCGACCAACATCTTCTGGTGTATTTTTTTTCTTACAATCAAAACCTAAATATAATAAATAAACAAAACAAACAAATATTCTTTTTATCTATAAAATCAATAAAGATTTTTCTTTACATACCAGCAGTGACCATATTTGGTTTAAGTAGTGTGCCTTCCAAGAAAATATGATGTTCACTAAGTGATTTATATGTTGCAGCTAATACTTTTTCTGTTACACGTTGACATGTTTCTAAGTCATGATCACCTTCCGGTAATACCTAAATAAAAGAAAATAAAAAGAACTTGATACTCATTCAAGTGCTTTTACTTACTTCTGGTTCAACAATTGGTACAAGACCATTCTAAATAAAAAAAAAACAAACATAATTATATTATTCATATAAAAATCACTTTACTTGTTGGCAAATTGATGCATAACGTGCTAAAACATTTGCTGTTTCACGAATACCTAATTCTGATGGTAAACCATCACCAATTTTTAATGCACATCCTAAATAAATATAATTTTTTTTAAGATTAAAATAAAAAATTAATTTAAAATATATACGCCATTTAGCAAAACGTGCACCATCTTTGTAATATTGTGCACATCGTTCACCAAGACCATCGATACCTTGTGTTGTATTTTCACCATTAGTACCAGCCAATAATACAAGACCTTTATCAACTTTAATACCTGGAATAATACCTTTTTCTTGTAATGTTTGTCGAAATGGTTTTCCATTATCATCATTTTGATAAAATGTTTCATGAAAAAGAATAACACCGGATATATGATTAGCTAGATCTTTTGAACCATTAAAAAGTGTTTGACGATATAGACGACGATTTTCTTCATTATTTTCAAGACCAATTGATTGCAAACGTTTAGCCATTGAACCTAAATATTAAACAAGAAGAAGAAAACAAAAATTATATTCAAATTTAATATTTCATTTTACCAGTTGATTCATCAGCTGCCAATAAACCTTTGCCTTTGGCCATAAGTTGGTTCGCAGTTTCAACTAATTCTTTTTCTTTGTCGGCAGATAAATATTTAGCCATACTACAGTAGTTTCATTAAATTAAAAATAAAATTAATTAAAAACTTCTTACATTGATAAAGAAAAAATGAAGATTTATGTGCAAAAAGTAAACTGTCTACAATAAAAAACAAAAATAAAAAAAGACAAAATCAATCTGCGCTTTTGTGAATAAAATTAGAACAAAAATGGGCGAATGAAATAAAAGTAGATGCCTTGTTGTCGTTGTGTTTTTTTTTTTTTCGTTTATCCTATGTAGACTGTAAAGTGCAGAGAAGAAGAACAAAATGACGATGCAGGTATTATCGATGAAAAGAACGAAAAGAAAAAAAGAAATGAAATGCGCTGTTATATATCATAAAAACAATTGTGATATCATACATGAATAAAATAAGTTCGAAAAATTTCCAGGTGATTTCTTTAGACAAAAAGATTTTCTACAAAAATAAAATCAAACAAAATTATAGAATCGTTGTATAAACAAGAGATGTTTCGTTGTTAGTCAAAGTCACATTGACCTATCTGTGGTGTGAAGAAATAAACAATATGTCTCGATTTTTTCGTTCTCAAGTCTATAGAATAAGGAGTGCACGTCGTATCCAACTATTATAGATTAGTATTAAATGATAGAAATGTTATAGAAACCTCTTAGTATGTTCAGATATTTATTTTAATTGTTTCAACACAAGAAATAGTATCTGTATTTTATTTGATATATAATTTGCTCAGAATATTTAAAGTGTCAAAATTTATTATACGTTGACTAATTAATAAAATTTATGGAAAAAAATGACTTTATTCGTTTCATACAAATATAAGATTTGATGCTGACCATAGAAGCAACTAGACATAGGAAAAATACCCGAAGTATACTTTTTATTTGATAACGTGTATATATATATATATATATAATGCAACTGTTTATTGTCTAGTTCTACGCAAAAATATTCATTCATTTTGAAATGCGTAACAGTGTTAATTTCAAACAAATGAAAAATAAAGCGCAAAATATGACTATTGACATAAACTTTCTCTTTCGATTCAAAGCAAGACAAATATTTCTTTGCTTTCTTTTCTTTTTTGTAATTGAAGTACTAGAAAGTAACTTTCTATATGTAACATGTTCCATTCGTTAAAATTTAATGCGTCAAAGAAAGATCATTTTTTTTTCGCGAACTATTCTATTTTGGGAACAGTTTTTAAATGGTATTACCAAAAAAAAAAAAATTTTTAAATATTCTAAAAATAAAATAATGATAATAAGTGACATCTATCGTTTCGAACCAACTGATGTATGACAACCAAGGTCTTTCTGATTCATTAGTAGTATTGCAGTAATATTTTTTACGCACTATATTAATAATTATTCAAAATTGATTTTATTTAATTGTCGAACATTGTTCTCATTAAAATATAATTTTATTTAACATATACTGATAGTTTATTCAGTATTAACTACATATATATTTATGTGGTAATATTTAACATTATTCAACACTATATATTTATTAAAACAATATCGTTTGTTTTCTTTTAACAATTATTGATCGTTGTCAAGATAATTTTTTTTTTCTTTATTTAGCAATGTATGTTATTAGTATAGCATATTATACTGAGTGACATTTCGATTCAACGAAAATTAATATAATTAAAAATATTTTGCAAATAATTAGTATTTATATACATAGATAGATTAGAATGATTATATTTCATTGAGTAAGTATATATTGAGCATTAATAGACAATGAACATATTATTGATAAGATTTTGTAAAAAACAAACAACAATGATTATAGTTTTGAAAATGATATGAAATGAAGTTTATAGAATATTTCATTTAATGAAGAAAAAAAAATTATTTGAACTAAAATATTTTTTTCTTTATTTGATTATTAGTTTACTGATAATCATTTCAAAATAAAATATAGAAAATTAACTTTTGATTGACAAACATTTTATTAAATATTTAAAATTTCGAAAAATTAAATCAAATCGAAGATCAATCGATGGTCTATAACATTTACTTTTATAAAATGTTTACAAATGATCGTTACATGTAAAATATTAATAAGTGTGAAGTATATAATTATTTTTGTGGCTTCACTTAAATTCTATTTATGTTAATAAATAATACTGCTCAGCTTTATTTGGCTTGCTGTAAATCAGTTAATTTGAATTTCTGATTAGAATCCATCGAGTTATAAAAATTTTAAGATTCAAACTTGATAGAATGTTATAAATTAATTTTAAGGCTAGCTTCAAATAAAATAATAATATTAAATAAAAATTTTTCAATAAACATCTTCATATTCTTAAAATTTTAAGATCTTATCACGAATCAAAAATTGCAAGATCTTTTTTAAATATCAATACAATAATTATCAGAATATTAATAAGTATTTATTCTTCAGATATTTATTTAACATATCAATCACTTCAACTGATTACATGATTATAAGTTTTCATTATTGATTCGATTTTTCTTATTCAATGAATTAATTCAATAGCTCAACAATCAAGATCACTAGAATTGTATGTCTTCTTTTCAAAAATAAAATAAATATTAATATTCTATTTAATTAGTAGATTAAATATGCTGAATCTCCATAGAACATTGCTTGAATATACTCATGTACTTCGATCTGACACGTTTTTATATTGTTTACGATAAGCAAAATTGAAATTTAGTTTTATTTCAAATATTTGTTTTTTTTTTTGGTATTTATTTATTTCCTTTAAGGTGTGAACAGGGAGAAATCGGGGGAGTCAGCTCCTTGGGTTCGACTATTCCAAAAACCTGGAACCGTTTTTTTTCTAAAATTGTTTGGAGCCGGAACCATGGCAAGAAACACTTTGAAACTGGTAAATCATCAGATAGATGCAAAAGTTCTTAAATCTATGTCGAGAAACCTTCATTTCATTCTTAGATTGAAGATTATATTGTTTTGTTTAAATACTAAAATACCTGGTGTTTTTAATATCAACAATTCAATAGTAAAAATTTCTCAAAATGGATTCAAAAAATTTTCGTATCTATCTGATGATGTAATGGTTTCGGTTTCGCATGATATTTTAGGAACCGCCGAATTTCCCTCCTTCAAATCTTGGAAAATCTTCGTTTTACTCCACTGATTCTTAGAATTTTATTGTTGTTCTGAAAACGATAATGTTGATACTCCTAGTTGCAGTAATGTTGAGTTTAAAGTTTAAACATATTGGTAAAATCTAAAATATAAGTACTTCAGCCGCGTAGGCTCTACAAGGAAATTGAAAATTTCAAAATTATTTTCTTTTACATTCAAGAAGTTTTTTTTTTAACTATTTTGTAAGCCAATCATCTATCTTGTTTAGCTATCTCTCAATAAATTAAATTTAATACAAGAGAGGCTTATTAATTGAAGAAAACTAAGAAAATAGTCATAAAAATATCTGTTTGGCTCTAAAAAGAAAAGTCGAAAATTTTCAGTTTATCACTAAAGTTTACTTCGATTTATTGTTTACATTTTGTGTTTTACTTCAGTCTTCCCTATTTGACGTTTAAAGACGACACTATTGTAGGGTTACCGTTCTCAGAAACGCATATTCGTTCATTGTTTCTGTTTCTATTAAGAAGGAATGTATAGATTGGTATGCTAAGAAAAAAAGGTAATAACAATTATCTAAATGTTTATTAATGCAAAAAAAAATATTTTAAACTGCCTTCACCTTCCCGCGAGCAAGACATTACTATTTATAATGTCATCATTTAATATTCACTTACTCTCATATCTATCTATTCATAATCGTTCGATTAATTTTAGGCCAAGAAATAATCAAAATTAATTTATCTAGTATTGCTATTTTACATATATGAGACATTGCTGTCCAATGTATGATGACATATGAAACATCAAATCGATACAAATGATATGATTGTATAAAATGAAACTCGTACATATATAATATTTAATAAACATATATGTAAGTCAAGAAAAAATTCTATTCTCTTTGTTAATATAATTCGATAAATGAAAATAAAGTTTAAATTTAAATGATTTTTTTTTGAGTGTTATGCATCTACAATCTGATCAAAAGAATTACTTTGATAGACAAAAAAAATCTAAACAATGGAATACCATGATTAATATAGCCCGAGAAACTCAATGTCATAAGAATCTATTTTTATACTAGAATATCAAAATATTGTTCTATTTAAGAGATAAATACGGAGCAAAATATTAGTTAAAAAAAAACACTTTGTAAGTTTATTAATTAACATCTAAGTCATTTACTAAAACGAAATTCAATTAGAAAATCGCCTAGTTTATATTCTATAAGAGAATACAAAACATAATTAACAAGAAATCTATGAATATAGCGTTGTTTTTTTTTAATCAAGGATTTTCTGCCTTAGGAAAAATTTTTTAAGAAATAAGTACAGTTCAGAAAAAAAATTTTGTCGTTTAAACCGGTATATATTATCAAAAATTACCATTCCGAAGCAGAAAATAGCAAGACATGTAGTGACTAGATACGTATAGTAACGTTTCGATGTTGTTTATAAGTAGTAATTTCATGCTATTTTCTACTTCGAAACGACGTTTAGATGTGATAAACGGTAATTTTTGACTTATACATACTTGTTTAAACAACAAAATGCTGTTTATCGAACGACATTGGAAACTACTTTCTCTATTAGAAGCACTTTTCGGATTCTTTCTAGTGCTTATGGTAGTGAAAAAAAATTGAAAATAAACCTTGTAGAATAATTTTGGTCTTCACTGTATATGTGATATAACACATCTATTAAATCAAACTGATTTTCCTATATTATTAATTTATTATTTTGTTTTAGTTTAATCGGATTCAGAAAAATGATCGTTCCTTGGTTATGGTAGACTTGCACACACTTGAATAAATAATCCAAAAACCGAAGGTCTGTAGATATACTGAAAAAAATCAACAATATTCAGAAATACTCGTACTCAAATTTTAGGATATCACGATGATTACCCATATACCTCAAAAAACGCTTGGGCAATCATCCAACACTGTCTGAACGGGTTGGATAATTTTCTCAAATGCGAACAGTTCGTCTGGAACACAAAGCTAGAGTTCGAGTTTGATGCATCCCTATTAGAGCCCATCGGGTCCAAGATTTTTGGACCCGGTCGCTTAAACTTTTTGAATCTAAAAACGATGATAAATCAGTTTCGATAATATATTCAAGAAGTGTTTTGTTGTTTTTTTATCTATTTTCTAAATACTTTCAATTTTTTCTTCTTCAGAAAACGAACAAAATTTTGAAAAAATTCACAATACATCGTATGCATCAAAGTTTTCTTCAGAGCTGGATCCGACCCGAACCCGGTCACAGCAAAATTTTCAGACCCGGGATCCGAACGGGTACGGATCGGGTCCGAGTCCTACCTGATAGGCTCTAATCCCTATACTCAAATGAGTTTCTGTGAAATAAATAATATTTTCTCAAGAACATGCTTGGTCAGATATCATCGTATAATTGAATTTGTTTTTTTTTACTGTTTTAAAGTAGAGATTTTTCAAGAATATTTTATATGTAAATTTTTTCTTTTGAAATAAAACATTAAGTAATTTATTTACTATGAATGTTTGTTTTGTTTTTTTTATTACAAATAAAATTTAAAAAAAGAAAAAATAGATTTCTTATAAATAATTTTAGTTTTATCCTATATTCAAAGATGACTGATACAACTAATGAACAAATTAATTCTCTTACACGTGATCTTGAATTAATGCGTGAACGTTATCATAAATTACTTGATGCACATGGACAATTACAAACACAAAATAGTTTATTCGAAGAACAAATTCTTTCTATTGTTGAAACATATTCAAATGAAAAAAATCAATTAGAACAAAATCTAATTGATGCTAAACAAGAAATTATAAATTTAAAAGATACAATTAATGAATTAGAAATTGAAAAACAACGATATAAAGATGATTGTAATTTAGCTGTTAGACTTTTACATCAACATCCACATGAATTTATTTCTACACAATCAGATTATATACAAAAACAATTGCAAAATAAAAATGAATCAGTAAGTAAATAGTTCAAAATTCAACAATAGAAACTCAATTAGTGTTGATATTAATGTATAATATATAACCTAAATCTAACGAAGGAAATCCCTCACTTTTGAGATTGGAACAATATGCATTATGTGGATCCTAATGAGTTATAAATACTCGGAAGAAAGTTCGTGATGTTAACTTATTGACAGTGCGTAGTATCGCATTGTTACGAATGTTTTTAAAAATCGAAACCGTAGTCCTCCTCAGGAATATCAGAACAACTGATTTTCGAAGAGAGATCTTAAGCAGAAGAATTTATCGTGAAAATTTCAAATCTTTTTTGTTGATCCTATCTTAAGATCTGGCTATAGTAAAAGCATGTCTTTTATATCGTTCATATACATTCCTAGAGATTCGATGTTTTTATTTTAGAATAGAAGCAAATCAAAATATCTAAAAATTTCATAACAAACGAATCTTTCCTACTGTTTTTGAGAACCACCACGGTATTATACTGAAAAGTACCGTATAGATGCAGTATTTCAGCAATAATAAGCTAACAGCATGAACGTTTTTCAAAGATGATGTTTATGAAAATCATGGTTTGATACCTTCAATAAAATAATGAGTTTAATTTGTCAAGGATACTACCCTTGAAAAATTACTGTATCACTCAAGACTCGCACTTCTAAAAAAATTCATTTTGGACCATGTACATTCAAATCTCATGAAATTTTCACAATATATTGAGGTTGTCGTGAAGAGACTATAATGAAATCTTCAGCCATCTACTATGACGTTTTTCCGGAGATATTCAACCGACAACAGTTAAAAATAGCTCATTTGGCAGTCCAAGATTCTCGATGGGGTTTTATTCTGTATACTTAATTTTGTTTGACAGAGCATGATAGAGCCTTTTTTTTTTAGTTCTTATTTCTTTTTTGCAGTGGAGAGAAATTTAATATCTCAATAAGCTCGCGCAACATATTACTCCAATTATATAAAAGTACTCAGTCATACCCTACATCTTGACATACTTTTTCAAATTAAAAAAAGAAATGCAATTAACTATAATGAAGTTTCTTTGAGAGTTCTAGAAAGTACGATTAGAGAAAAACAACAAAAAAGATTTTTCTAAAAAAAGAAAGATCAGAGTTCGAGCTATTCTTCCATGCATATAGCTCGAAAATTGACTTTTTTGAGAAGGGAGGGTGGGGGGGGAGGAGAGTCATTTCTTCAATTTCTAATTTTAAAATAAAATTTTCTTTTGTTTATTGTTCAGACACCTACAACTCCACCGACACCATTATCACATAATATATTAATACCTACTTTTCCGCCAATCTTTGTTACATCACTTCCATTACTCAATACAACGAATTCTTCATCATCAACTGTTACTCAAACTCCATCAACTACAACAATAACTATTGATAATCTTCGTCTTTCTGAAACACTCTTTAAATCGAATACTGTTCATCGTTATCCTTCTAGTCATTTTATTTGTTCAAATTGTCATCAAACAATAAAATGTTGTGATGTAAGCGTTCAAACATCTTTAGATGATCATAATACAATATCTAAAATACATGTTATATCACATACTGCATCTGATGATGAATTTAATGGTGATACAACATGGACTTCATACGAACCACATGGTACACATATGACAGTACAAGAATATCAAATGGGACATGCAAGAAAAGTCTCTCATGATACAGGATTACCATCGAATTCAATTCCTCAAATGCATCGTGTTTGAGATATTGGACTTTTTCTCTTTTCTTTTCGCATTTACAAGGAAACGTTTTCATTTGATCAATCGATTTTTTTTTTGTCATCAAAAAAACGATTGATCTGTTAAAATATTTCTTCATTAGACAATTTAAATGATAATCACCTTTTTTTTTTTGTTATGTTTTTCTTTTGTGCATGATGTTGTCGATAAATTTTATACAATTCTAAAAAGACTAAATTTCTATTAACAAATAATTATAAAGAGATTGTTAAATAAAACGTATATTTTACTTATCACAATAACTATATCTACTTTCTTATTTTAAAACCAACATAAACTTTCATTGCTAAATACTACAAAAACAAAAAAACCACAAACAAATCAATCAATTAGTTTTGTTGTCTTTTTAGTTTGTTCAATAACTAAATCAACCATATCTTTACATTGTTTAAGTTCAATTGCTTCGACAATAGTATTATTTAAAGAAAAAATATATCGAATAAGATTAGAAAAATTTATGACAGCTTGTCTATAATTATATCTACATATCAAATATCGCCATGCTAATTCAGTATATATGTTTTGAATATGTAAAATTGTTTTAATATCCATTAGATTGATTGGAACAATATTTGTATAATATGTATAGTCGAATGTAGAAAAAACAAGTAATGCAAGTACTAATTTAAAAAATGTATCATCAAAATTGAATTGACAAATCATACGATTACTGTTAGTTAATATACTTGATCCATAAATAATCTCAATAGATTTATAGAAAGCTAGATTGTTTAATAATCCAGTATGATGTATTATAAAACATGCACCAAGACTACCTACATATTTCATTGTATTATGAACTAAAATACGACGATCATGTGAACATAAAGAAATAAAATACGAATTAGTTTCATAAAAATATTGAGATTGATTTATGAATGATAGAATAAGTTCATTGACTCGTGTTAATCTATAACGCATTTTAGGAGGTAAATTATTTTGTTCATGTATAAAACGTTGAACTAATGAAAATCCATTGTATTCATCATAACAATGAGTTAAATGTGATAGAAGATTCCACTCATCCATAGTTAATGTTAGTTGATCGGATTGTAATAGATTCAATGTTGGTAACTAAAATTAAAAGAATAGTTTTTATTATTTAGTGAAGTTTCTAAGGTTTTTATATCATAAAAATGAAACAATTCTAGACCTCATGTTTTTTTTGATAATAGTTCTTCGACAACTGGGCAAAGACATGACCTTATTAGAGTAAAAATGTTTTTTTCTTTCCTTTAAATATCTGTTATATATTCACATGGTACTCTTTAAGCAAAAACGTGACATCAGCTAACGTTGTGAAGTGTGAAACAAAGATTTCTATGACAACTCTCTGTTCATAATATCAATAAATTTAAGTATATAAATTTAGCTGACGAGGGAATTTCTTCAGGTGTCAAATCGTTTTTTGACTGAGACGACGTCTCATTCAATGAGTAGTAGAAAAGTCTAAAATGTTTTGATTTTCAAAGCCTTTCGTTCTCAAGATATCGAAATTTTATTCCGCTTTTCAAACAAAAATCTGTGGTCCCGCATAGGTCAAGTCACGTGAAAAATCGACTTTCGATTTCAAACTTAGATTCGAAATTCTGTCATGTGTAAGAAGCAAATTTTATTCATCTTCAGAAAGCAAATACTAGAAAAGAACTTTCTTCACAGAAAGTTTGAAGTCGAAAGTCAAAAGTTAATTTTCCACGTAACTTAAGAGAGATCACAGCTTTTTGTTGACAATCTTAATAAAATTTCGATATCTCGAAAACAAAAGCTACAAAAATCAAACCACTTTAGACTTTTCTATTATTCTCTAACACTCATCAAATGAATATCGTCTCGATCGAAAATCGATTTGATATTTGTAAAGATTCTCCATAACGGATTGCTCACTTAGCATGAACCGTTTGAGCTAAAACTTTCAAGAATGAATGGTTCTAATGAGAAATGCTTGTTCGATATGTAATACCACACTACTTCCAGATTCATCATAACCTATTCAGAGTTTCTAGGAGAATTCCTAAGGATCTGTCAATGCAAGGAATACAAAATTCTGAGTAGTTTCAAATTAAATTCAACGTCATCACTCAGTTTTTATTTAAACAATACTTCAAAATTTGTTTCTATTAAGTATTTTAGTAGACATAGTATTTAAACACATAATAAAAATACAGTGATCACAATACATTAAATCTTTGTTTTTCTTCTAATAGATGAAGTAAGCAAATACCATCTGTAGTAGTTCGATATATTTGCTCTTTGCTCTTCCAGGTAACGCACATATTTTTATACCATCGTATGCCTTGAATGCATTTACTGATATAGTTGTTTTGATAAATTATAAAAATAACTCAATGTTTTCTGTGTCTAATTAATATTTATTTCGTTCTTTAACTTTCATTATTAAATTTTTATGATTTTTCTTCTCACGAATATACAATTCATATAAATAAACTTCACTCACGTTTATCTGCGTTCGATTATTGAAATATCTCGAAAGTGATAACCATAGTTACTTTGATATTTAATGGTAAAATGTCTTGTAAAGTTATTCATTTTGAATTCTATTATGTTAGGCAGCTTTGACGGGTATTACCAGGTGTTTTTTTTTTAATAAGTCTATTAAAATCTGATTGTTTTGCAAAAAGCTATATATATATATGTTTTAAAAGATAAGATATCAGTGCACCTTCCTATGTTTGACAACTTAACTTCAATGTTTTCTTTCTTGAAAAATTGAATTTTCTAAGAAGAAAATCTTAAAAAAATTTCGAAAAGAAGTTACATTCTTTACACTATTTATTACTTCCTTTTTTTAAATGAAATATTGTGAAAACTAGCGTTCGAAACAACATAATAACCTCACATACATTAGTAAAGTTGATAAACAATTTATACATGATTATCATCGGACCCTTTCACAAGTACACAAAAAAACATTTAGTCAATCATGAAATAAAAAGTTGAATGTAGATGTTGTAATTGATATTTTTCTGTCATTTCTTCCAAAAATATATGAATAAAATTCTAAAGACTAGTATAATTTAGTATTCTTTGTCCTTCATCATTTGAACAATGGAACATTTCAAGTAGATGCATATAGATAAAAATAGCTACAAAACAATACTATGTAAATCTGTTTTTCTTTTTTTTGTTTTTTGATAAATAATTGTAAATATTTCTAATAATTGTTAAAATAAAATAGACAAAAACAAAATAAAGCTTACTTGTTGTGTATGATCTATTTCTTTTAATCTTGCCAAAACAGTCGATATTTTTGTCACTTTTTGTTGTTGTTTTGTCTTGTTCTTTGTTGTTCTAGAGGATCGAAGCATTGCAACTTGCATGCCACTTTTAAAACATTTAGCAAGTCGACAAGATGAACAATTATGACGATTAAGAGTATTAATTTGACAATGACCATCAAAAAGACATTTGGAATGTTCCTGAAATAAATCTACATAACGATAGAAAAAAAAACAAGTTTTTTTTTCTATACTCTAACCTGTTTAGTCTCTGCATTACGTTTAAAAAACATTTTACAGGAAAAACATACGATGACACTAACATAAGAATAAAATGCAGGAGCTCCACATATTTTACACTCTAATGGAATTTTCTTTGGTTTTTTATTAAGATTCATATATTGAGTTGTATCATTCCAATTTTCAATAAGTTGATCGTCCATTGTGAAACGCTTTCTTTTTTCGCCAAAAAAAGAAACACACGATCAAATTAAATTTAAAAAAATTAACTTTATACTGTTTATTTCTAACTCATATCTAGAATATAAATGAGAATTAAAGGAATGACGAAGAACAAAAGCATTTTTCTTTCTGTAAAGTAGAACGAATGCGAATGGATGCATGTGCGTCGACTCGACGGCTGCACGTTACCCTCAGGTTTGAAAGAACAGACATATATTGCGCAGAAAAGAAAGAAAAATTCAACGAGTACTGCATACCCTTTCCTTTTTTTTCTATTAATAGAATGGCAAAAAATAGTAACTCATTGATTCAATTTTAAAAATATACTGCAAGGCATACTAGATTTTTTTTGAAGATTTTTGTTGTTTTTTACATTTGTAATAGTAAGAAAAAAAATACTAACAATGATTAAATTATTATTATTATTTTGTTAAAATTAACTTTATAAAATTATTCTAGATAAATTGATAAAATTTTGAATGAATAGAATTCTATAATAAAATTACTTTATTTTTTATTTCTATGAAAATATTAGAATGATGATATGTATTAATATCATGCTTTTATACAGATGACTTTATTGAGATGAACTTCAAAAGGGTATAAATTCTTACTATTTATTAACATAATATTGTGAATAATATATAACAACATTAGTTAAGAACTTCATATATATATATAT